GGATGGGTTAAATGCGGAGGTGAAGTTTCCCCGTTGTGGGACTAATAAGGATCACTTAATAATAATAACACCTTAGCAACTACCTGAGAATGCATAGCAATTGCTTTGTCAAGTCAACTTAAACATTCACTAAAGTTCCCTTTCAAGTTTTTATTATTATTATTATTATTATTATTACTATAAATAGTGCTCACTTACTATTGTTCTGTGCTATTGCATACATTCTGTTTATTTATCTAGGTTTTTAAGCTGCTCAAAACTGCTGTCTACCAGAGCCTGCACTAAACTTGGGCATGTTGGCTTACTCGATACATTTCTCTCTACTCTCTCCAGAGAGCTAGCTAGCACAATCACATTAATTCTCCATAATTAATGCAACTGAGATCATGCCAGCTAGCAATCTGGACCAGAAGGAAGCTTATTTGGACTGCATCTGGAGGTAAGACTGATACTACTGCCTCAAAACAGATTTGGAGTTTTGCAAGCTGTGCCAAATCTGCAATAAGTCTGGTGTGCAGAGTTGTGTGCTTGATAAAGAAAGGTTTGTTTCCACATGGAAGTGCAAGCGTTCATAACAAAAGTGAACATGCTGGTTATTCAAAAAACTTTTACATTCCTGAAGAATTTATTGATCAAATTTATCAAATATTACTGAATAATTGTTGCATGTTGTTGTCTTCACCATGTGTTTAAGACTACTTTTATTTCTAGAGATGGCATATCGGTATCAAAACCCATCAGTATTGGGTCGATATAAGTACATACCAACACACACATATACACATGTTAGCAACCACCTGGGATACGATAGTAATGGTCTAGCAACAGCTTAGCAACCATTGGAGATAATACAGCAAGGCCAGTAGAAAACACTGGATCAGCTTTCAGAAGGGAAAAAAGAAACTTTACATCATTTAGTATCAGCTGATACTGAGTACTGACACTGATACTAACTCTATCTAACCTAACTCACCTATATGTCCTGATATTCATACAACTACATTTTTAAAATATTTCATTTTGGTAAAATCTGTGTTCTGTGTCACAAATAAAACACACTCTGCTTGGCTAGATGTCATTTACTTGTTGGATTATATTTATTTGATACTTAAGAAAACTTATTTTTGTTCATTTTCTGTATATATTTAGCATTTACTATTATATAATTAGTAATAAGAACCATCTTTAACAACTTACTTAAATGTAAAATATCTTTATTGTGCAAAACAGGTAAAAACAGAACTGATAAGTATACAGATAAACCTGTGGTGTTTACATATCAGCACACGCCAGCTTTTCTGGCTCAAAAACTGAGCTGAATATTGTTTCACATCCAAATTTCTCAAGTCATTAGTCTCATACATGCGTCTTGTTCACTCGTGCTGCCTCTCTGAGCGTCAGTTCAGTAAATATCACCATCATGATAACTGTGACCGCAAAGGGTTAACAAGTTAATGAATTAAATTACGTGCATTAGAGCAGGACAGGTGTCTCCTCGACTCAAAAGCACTGAGCTAGAAGAAAGTGCCTGGCTTGTATCTGAAACACGCTACACAGCTGTCATGTTTTTTTTCAGGTGACATTTTCAACTAGAAATGCGGTATTAAAGTGCAAGATGTGCATGTTAAATTATACAGTGAGAAAAGAATGGTTGTTGTATATGCTTTTACTGTTTTCAGTGTCTGGCATGTCACAAAGCGTGAAAAAGCACATAAGCAAGTCTCTTTGAGATTACCTAACAACTCTATTGCTTAACAACTCTGCACACTTTCTACAATGCTGAAGGGTGATTTAAAGGGCTCATATCTTACATTTTCTTGTATTGTATCTTTTCACATGATGTGCACATAATGTTTGTGTGGTTTTATGTACCACAAATAGTCATAATTCATATTTACATGCCTATTTTCCAACCTCTCTTTATCCCTTAGAATTAAACAGACTGTTTTTGTTACTGTGCCTTTAAGATGTAATTTTCCTCTGTTCTGATTGGCTGTCCTGTATTGTACATCATTCAAAAAAAAACCAGTATGCGCTGAACCATGTGAATGGGAGGCCTTCCTTTGCTCCATGTCCAGTTCTGGTGCTTTGGTGACCACTGCTTTCGACGGTGAACAGGGGGTAGCATGGGCCCTCTGACCGGTTTGTGGCTACATAGTCCTTAATGCAGCAAGGTGGAAAGCACTGTGTGTTGTGACACATTCCTCCCACAACCATCATTAAAAATTTCGAAGACTTGTGCCACAGTAGTCCTTCTGTCAGTTCAGACAAGATGGGTAGCCTTTACTGCCTTCAGGCATCGATGAGCCCCAACACCCTGTCGACGGTTCATGATCTGTCTCGTCAGAACACTGTCGGTAAGTATTCACCACTGCTGAACAGGACCACCCTACAAGCCAGGCCGTCTCTGACCCTTGTCAAAGTTGTTCAGTGTTCATGCCTGTCATTTCTTCCCACATCCAACGTGCTGACTATGACAATGGACTGTTTGCTTACTGTCTAATACATCCCACACTTTGACATGTGCCCTTGTTATGAGATAATGAACATTATTCACTTCATCTGTGATGGTCATAATGTTTTGGCTCATCAACACTAAATACTATAATACAACAAAAACACCAACATCGATCGGCCTTTGATTCTAAGGCCTTGTTATGAATGCTATAGAATGTGGATTGCTTATTTCTACAAGCATCCAGCAGGGGGAGCTCTTGCTGGTTTTAGTCATCAATAAAACGGCAAAGATAAAATACCACGCTTTAGTGTTACTTTTTTTTTTTTTATTATTCCCCAAACTGCCCCAAACTAATATTTCGGATTGAAGAAAATACTTTTTAATGAAATTCTGTGATTAAAGTCTGCTGTGACCAAATGCTACAAGACTACGCTGCTCCTTTGGCACAAACCAGCTCGCTTCTTCACATACTGATCACATCCACACTCCACACTGTATGTGGGATCTGAATCTTTCAATCTGAAAACAAATTATCCAAAACAATTTGAAAAATTGTCCAAAATTGAGTACCACATACAAATCCTCTGACCACTGATGACTATCACAAGCTGTGCAGCAAAAGATGAGCTACTGTCTCTGATTTTACATCTACAAATTGGACCAACAACACAGGAGTGTCTAATAGAGAGGACAGTAAGTGGACAGTGTTTAAAACTACAGCAGCACTGCCATGTCTGATGCACTCACACATTAACACACCACAACCACGTCAGTGTCACTGCATTGCTGAGAATGACCCTCCACCCAAATAATAGTTTCACTTTTTTATTATTCCCAAAACATTCCCCAAACTAATATACTGGATTAAGGAAAATTATTTTTAATGAAATTCTGTGGTTAAAGCCTGCCGTGACCATATGCTACAAGACTACGCTGCTCCTTTGGCACAAACCAGCTTGCCTCTGTCACATACTGATCACATCCACACTGTACATGGGATCTGAATCTTGAGCAAACACCGCACAGAAACTGAACGTTAGCCTGCCAGTTGCATCCTAATGTCTGTACCTCATCCAAGGTATGCGAGTTTGCAATTACGCAGAAAGGAAGACAGATGTAGAACACAAGGGAAAAATATGTAAACAAAGAACAAGCAATGAGGAAAAAGACAGGAAGACAGTAGAAAGATATGAAAAAAGAGACTGAATAGGATTTTTCGAAGGGCAGATGAAACAGCACAGCTTTTGAAAGGCTCCGAGCAGAAATGTTATTGTCTCTGGCAAGCTCACAGGCAATAGAGCAAATCGGCCTGGATGGAGCTAATATCAAAAAGAGCTTTGTTCCGTTTTACTCGCAGACTGAAAACATTCAGCCAAATCAAATATAAGCGCTTATTCATCCTTAGATAACAGAGAAAAAGAGAAAAGAGGGTCAGAAAGAGACAGAAGAGAGATGCTTCTTCATCTCCAAAAGTCACATCTGGTATTTATTTATTTACAGCTAAATTGAGAAAATGTTCATCAGTGAATTTGGGGTGTGAAATTAGAATCATCATCTTTGTCATCTTACACCTGGCCTGCTGAATTACAGTATGAAGAGGACGTTCAAAAACACCTTCCTTCACTTAAATGACTCTTTTTTTAAGCTTATACGATTTCCTGTCTTACCCTAATTGTGGCCACTCATGTGGTCATGGCCTGTTAGAGTGTGTTGTGCTGGTCTGAGTGGATCAGACACAGCAGTTCTGCGGGAGTTTTTAAACACCTCAGTGTCACTGCTGGACTGAGAATAGTCCACCAACCAAAAACATCCAGCCAACAGCGTACTGTGGGCAGCATCCTGTGACCGCAGAACACAAACTGTGCCGCAACAGATGAGCTACATTCTCCAGTGACCATTGAAGAACAGAGTGAAAGGGGGCTAACAAAGTATACAGAGAAACAGATGGACTACAGTCTGTAACAGTAGAACTACAAAGAGCATCCATATGGTAAATGGTGCTGATAAAGTGAACAATGAATGTAGATACTTCAGATTAACACTGCTGGCTCTCTGTGTGTGAAGTATTGTAACCCTCTGTTGAGCTGATAGAGAGCAATAAGGGGGTGAAATGTAAGAGGTGACAACCCCCTGCTGCAAAATCAATTCATGCGTCATCAAGGCTGCCGTGCGGAAATAAAATGGACAGCATAAGTTTCTTGATATCAAAAAGTGTGTACAACTGCCACAATAATACAGCACTTATTCATAATAATAATAAACGCAATATAAACACTTATAAATTTTGACTTGCTTGCTCACCTACAAGTTTTGAAAATCATACACATTTCCAGTGAAATATACGCCATCATAGTTATTGAAAAACAAACACCTCTCTTAGTACAACAGAGAGACCTCCAACACAGGAGAAAATTGCATGAAAAATGGTTAAGATTCACATTTTCTACTTACAGCTACTCAATCAGACAGAAAGTCGCACAGTCAGTCAATCAGACAGACAGACAGATGACCTCTAGGATCATGTGGTTGTGCTTGGACTCACCTGTGAAGAGTTTAGTAATGTTCTTGTTCTGTCTGCGTCCGGAGCAGATAAGCAGGAGCCAGGGTGGTAGGAGCTCATGGTGGGCGGCCAGCAGCTCTCCGATGCTCCGGGGGCTGGACGAGCTGGACCTGGACTCTCCCTCTCCAGCCTTCACCCCCTCATCCACAGAGTCCACCAGCAGGAACAAGGCTTGAGCGGGGGGCTTACAGCTAAGCAGCGGCAACAGCACACACCTTGAAGAGAAGGACAATGACACCATTACTAATAATACTGCTACCATTATCATTATGGCAGTTATTACTATGGATATTAATTATTTGCATGACTTTCAACTCTGCCTAACCACTTCAACTCCTAATGGTCACTTCAGTTCAAAACTGTCATTTCTACTCGATGATATATTCATTTACTTGTTGTTATAGAACATTTTGAAGTAGTTACTGAATAACAAATGTCGAGTAATAACCATAGTCTCAAGTTTAAGTGATAAAAGTAGTCATGGTAATAAGCACTGATCTATGCATGGATAGATAGATAAACAGACACAGATATATATATATATATATATGGATAGATAGATAGATAGATAGATAGATTCAACTGCTGATTCATTCTGATGTTCATTATAGAGAAATCACAGTGTGATTTCTTCACAGCATTTCTTCTTCAGGCCTACAACACCCTGCATGTACATCTGCACCATGAATGACTTTTAAATAGTAGGTTTTGGGCCAAAATTTGATCTCAGAACTTTCATAAAACAATGTCTCAGGCATGAGGGAGTGTATTTGTAACTATTTAATTTAAGGGAACTTTTAAAGCCATTAAACTCAGACGCCTGGTTCCTATCACCACCACTGACAACAACACCGACTTCGTACGTTTCTCTACAATGCAGCGTTTTACATTAAAGTTGCTGAAATTACTTGTCCATATCTTAACCATTTACTAATACAGACATTTTGGAAAATCGATGGAGCTCCCTTTTAAACACATCTCTCTCTCCCTCCCTCTCTCTCTCTCTCTCTCTCTCTCTCTCTCTCTCAGCTAGATCAATAGGAAAGAGCAGAGAGAAAACTGCTGACTCAGCACAGTGCAGGAAGGAAAAAGCATCTCTGTGTCTCTCACTCTCTCCTGGTGTAATAACAGACTTATAGAATTACATACCTGATCCCTGTAAAAATCTTGGTCATAAGCCAGGGGTCGGCAACATGCGACTCTTTTACTGCCCTGTTGTGGCTCCACGGCAGAATTAGATGTTTAGGTAAAAATAAAATAATCCTCCTTTGCAGTAAAATAAAGCTCTGCTGATCACCCAACCACAGTTTTAACAATAAATGGCCTTAAACACTCGAGTCAATGCAGCCTACAACTGCTAACTCACCAACCTTTCACCCTGAAGACTGGCGCACAGATTGCTGGTCACCATAGCAACGCAGACATCTAGCTAAGAGCTAACGAAAAGACAAAGAAAAAGATTTAAGACGAACATTGAAAATTTGGAGACGAATGGCCTTATTTGCATTTATAAGCACTTTTACGTTTAATCTACAATGAGAAACTGTCAAACACTAAAAAGTCGTGAAGCTGAAATCACCTTCTCGTTTTTCAGCTTCTTTTTCGAATTTTCCCATTCCACCTTTAACGGTGCAGTAGTTACATTCTGCCTCAGGCACCACTTAAGGTGGAATGGGAAAATTTTAACAAGAACCCTGCAAATGAGAAACTGACTTCAGCCACGTACAAAGTGAAATGCTGACAGACATTTCACAAGAAACTATTCTACTTTTGTGGATAAGTTTCCTGCCAGAGATGCGAGAAAAGAAGCTATAGCTGAAATAAAGCTTAAAGCACAGCTGAGCCGATACTGATATAGGTTCGGATCGGTCCCGTCTCTAGTTTCTTTTAAAAGTAAGAAAAAATCTAGTCTTAGTTATGATGTGTTCTTAAACCACAGAATTGTTCTCACCTTTTTGCTCGAGTGTGTGTAGATTCTGTTCTCACCCAAGAACAAATCCCAAATGAGAAATCATTTGTGAATGTCAAAATCTTTGTGAAAACTGCGTGAGTTTTAAGAAAAAAAATCTTCTTAAGAACAGTTAGTGAATGAGGCCCAATATGTAATACATTTACCGCACTAAATCATAAAATGTCCATGATATGTCATCAGAGATTAAGGAAACATGCTAAGTTGAAATACTGGCTTTTCCAACAACAGTGCTACAGCTAGTATGTTCTCCTTAGAGATGTATCTTCCGAAGCAGAAAGTGTGTTTGTGATCCTGCACATTTCAACACCCTGGGTTGCCAGATATGACACAACTCTCCATGAGCAGAGATGTAGTAAATCGTGAGTAAACGCTGCTGATGAATTTGAAAGATGGAGACAGTTTAGAGCCCAGAAGGACTTTAAGATGGATGCTGAGTTTGCTAATTTTCTTCTGGACAGGTAAGCATTGAGCTTCAGCTACTGGTAGGGAAGGGCATTTTAAGTCATTTCAGCATTTGTGTACTTGTAGTACTTGTGGTCTGTGTGCAGCTACGTTATCAAGGCAGATGAGGCTAGCCACCTTAAATGATGCAGCAGTTACATTCTGGCACCTCATGTAACTGCTGCAACATTTAAGGTGGAATGGGAATATTCGAAAGAGAAGCTGGCGAATAGACTGAACCACCAGAATGCAATTGCTGCACCATAGCCAGTCATGCATTTAGCTAACACTGACAAAGTTATAAAAAATCCACATGAGCTGGTTTATAATTTGCAAACAATAAAACACTGCAAATGTATACATTAGCTGATTTGAATTTAGACTGCAGTAGCTGACGTATAAATATTGCTAAGTCTGATTAGTACTTTGACAGATCTGATGTCACCTACACCAAATTTAGTCTCGCCCAACTTAAATCGAACAGAACAAAGTGGCAGAAAAAGTAATCTCTCAAAAATCACTGAACAGAAAAGACCAGGAGCAATCTTTCTCTGCCAGTTTATGTAAAGACATAAGAAAAATAACATGAAAATGAGTAGACAGGGCCTTTAAGACATTTTCATGAATCTGACCCTCATTCTGGATCAGGTCTTTTCACTATGAGCCTGATTGAGTCTGGATTCAGTCTGGTGCTAATGGCTAATCCACGGCCAGCTGGGTTCCTCATTACCTCCAGCAGAGCTGCCCCTGTTAATGCTCACTAAAAACACTAAACTGCCACCCTGGGGGGGTAAGTGCCATGGCTGAAACACATCCAACCCGAGCGGGAGAGAGAGAGAGAGAGAGAGAGAGAGAGAGAGAAAGATGAGGTGAAATGTGACAGTTAGTAAAGATGTTCAGAGCAGTAGGCAGAGCTGGGCATTGTGCCCATGTCTTACAGATTTACTGAGATACACTTGCTCACTGCACTGACACTGTGTGTGTGTGTATGTGTGTGTGTGGGGGGGGCTGGAGTGTGTGTGGTCACCGTGTGGGCATCTAGCCTGAAGTCCCCCAGCATGCACTAGTGCAGCTGAACCCTGGCGCCTGGCCAGCCAGCAGCCAATCAGAAGAGCTGAACAGCAGGTGAGGGAAACACGCTCAGTTGTTTACTGTGTAACGGCTTCAGGAGCCAAAAGAAAGAGTATGTGTGCTGGGCCTGGCACAGTTTTTACACAATTGCCTGATCATAATTATTCAGGCTTTCGCAATTCTAAGCTTGAGCCGATTAGCAATGTATCCTGTAAGTGTAAGTTGGACGGTTTAAATGACAGGAAACACACCGTCCGTGGCTTTAAGATGGATTATAGTAACCATAATTTGTCTCGTAATTTAAGTTCTCTTTTAATGTGTCCGTTTCATAAATTAGCTCCGATATGTTTCCTGGCTTCAGACCAGTAGTAATAGTGCATAGTGCAAGGTAGAATCAAGCAGACTAAACTTGCTAAACAGATGCAAAAAAGTGAAAGAAACAAAACATGTTTTCACTCAATTTTATTATCTTTAATATAATTTGTAGAGTCTTAAATTTTGAGACTTCGTTGAACGCCTATTTAATTTTTTTCAGTCAAAAATTTTCTGCCTTTTTTCTCTTCACTGAAAATTTCCAGTCGAAAATGCTCAAAAACAGTGGCTAAAAGTCAGGGCATTCCTAATCATGATACTTCAATACATTTTCACCAAACACGATAAACAATATTTGTTTTTCTGAGGTTTTATAGATTGGAAAATGTAAAAAAAAAATTGTTTTATTCAATATTTTGCATGCAGCACTTCAACAGGATTATGCACTCTTTGTAATGAAGCATACAGTTGGTTTGTGTTCTTTAAATACTGAGGATATCCATTATCTGTTCAGAAAAGCATACTGTAATGTAATGTGATGATATTAAGTTGGCTTGACAGCCCAGTGGGTTGCAGTTTTGAGCTAGAACCACAAAACTCAGATCATAGAGTCTATATTGAAATAGTATGCGTATGTTTTTGGGACTGTTGGCTTGTATGGTTGTATTTTTTCTCCATAGGAAATGAATAACAGAACGTTGAGAAACTTTAAATCTAAATTCCACAAATGATGTCACAAAATATTTCTCTCACAGTGCCGCACAGAGAAATTACATACATACATACTAGGATATACGCAACAACCTGTGATACCACAGCAATGGCCTTGTAGCACCATAGCAAAAATCTAGAACAACACAGCAACAAACAAACAACACAGCAACCACCTGGGATACCACAGCAATGGCCAAGCAACACCGTAGCAACCACCTAGAATGCCATATCAAAGCCTTAGTAACACTTTAGCAACCACCTGGGACACCATGGCATAGCCTAGCAGTGCCTTAGCAACCACATGGTGATAACAGAGAAATGGCCTAGTATCACCTTAGTAACCACCTGCTATACCACAGTAATGGACTTACAACACCTCAGCAACCCCGACCATGGCCAAACTACACAGCAACCACCTGGGATACCACAGCGATAGCTGAGCAAGACCTTAGCAACCACCTGGAATGCCATATCAAAGCCCTAGTAACACTTCAGCAACAACTTGGGATTCCACAGCCACACCCTAGTAATACCTAAGCAACCACCTGAGATTCCATAGCACTGGCCTAGTAACACCTTGGCAAATACTTGGAATTCTGTAGCAACACCTTAGAAACCACCTAGGATACCATAGCACTGGCCTAGCAACACCTTAGCAACCACCTGGACTTTCATAGCAAAAGCTTTATCAAGCCAACTTAAGGT